GGGGAGGGCACAGCCCGCCCTCCTGCCTGCGATTTTGGAGTGAGCATGCAGAGCTTCCCAGGGGCATCCACAAAATGCAGAGCCTGCAAAAGCAGGACATGGCACCCTCATCACCCCGGGACCGATGGGAGGGTGCAGGGTCTAGCTCACAGGTGGGGAAACTAAGTCACAGCTGCACATCTCCCAGCTGCTGCCTCCATCACCCCTGTCCCTCCCCAGACCAGGCACGGCAGGCACCCCACCGCAAACCCACCCAGTCCTGGGGCTGCATGCACACCCGGCAGGGGCTGCGCTGTTGGACCCCAGCCGGGCTGGGGGCTGTGACAGCAGGATCTGCACCTGCAGGCAGGGATGAGAGGACAGGCAAGGACAGCGCTTTACCAGGCAACTGGCAGGGTCCTGGAGGCAGGCCAAGGAGATTAGCTCCCTTCCCCAGTGACCCAGGCAGCTCAGCAGTCAGTGCCTGTCCTGCCGCAGCTCCTCCTGAGGCTCTGGCAGCTGGTGCAGCGCAGGGATGCTCCAGGAGCAGGGATGCTCACAGGGACCTGCCTTCCTCCTGCAGCACCAGCACCCCCATGCATGGGTGTCCTCTCAGCCCCACAAACAGGGGAGCCCCGTACAGAGGGCTGTGAGCCAGGGTGGCCAGCACAGCGCATGCCAGACCCCATGATCCCCCACCCATCCCCACCTCTCTGCACACTCTGGCCCTGGGTGGGCTGGTCAGGTACTTCTGAGAAGCAAGTTAAAGATTGACCAGGAGCAGGTGGGTGCTCCCATGCCTGGCTCCCCGCCCCAGGTGCCAGCCTCCGCCCTCGCCCCAGTGCGATGCCGGCTGCTCTGGCCAGGGCAAGGACGCAGCAGCAGCACGGAGCCACAGTGAGCACCCCGCACGTGCAGGAGCACATCCCTGTGACAGACCCCTGATCGAGCCCGGATACGTTCCCGTTCCCAGCCAAGGGCTTCTCCTGGAGAAACCTGCCTTCCCATCCCACCGGCCACCCTGACCCTTCCACACTGCCCGCTGCAGGCAGGACGGGTGCTGGGCTCCCCACTGCAGGCACAGGCAGCAGGGCCATGCTGGGACACGCAAGCAGAGGAGCTGTGCACACACAAGTGTGCTGGAAGCGCCTGCTGGGCACACCACTCCCCTGGCTCTCAGCTTCCCAGGGAAGTCCTGGCTCCAGGCCCTTGGCTGGAACGTGCAGCTATTTCAGGAAGCCCCCCGGGAAGGGGAGGGCCTGGCAATCGTGTTGGCCCCAGCGTTTAGCTCCCATCCATTGGGAAAAAGGGAAGAGCCAAGCCCAGCCTGGGCTCACCTGCCAGGCGCAGCGCAGCAGCCTGGCACAGGAAGCTGAGCTCTGGGCTCCCGAACCACTTGCTGCACAGCAGAGCTGCCACAAGCATGGGGCCATCGCAGCCCTCCAAGGAGGACACGCACCAGGCACGTCCCGCATCCGCCCAGGGCACTGTAGCCCTCCCCGGCGCAGGTGAGCGCAGGGCAGCGCACAGCACCCTGCAACACACCGCTTGGCAAGGACCAAGGGTCCCAGCTCTGCCTGCGCACCATCCTACCAGCCCAGTCCGGGAGAGCCTACCAGGTGGAGGCATAGGGGAAGCAGCCCCACACCATGCCCTCTGGGGGCACCTGGCATGGAGGGACACCCATGCCCTTTACTGAGAGCAGGTGGAGGAGCCACCCGGCTGGGGCTTTCCCGCCTTCACCACCCACCCGGAGAGCTGGGGCAGGTGATAAGGCTGGGCAGAGCGCCTGAGACGGGCGATAGCATCTCCAGGCACAGTGAGACACCGCACCCGGGGAGCCTTGCAGGCAGCAGGCTCAGGGTGAGTGGCGGCCGGTGTCTGCCCCACAGGCATCATGCTGGGGGAGCACCAGGGTGGCACAACCCCCAAGGGTCCCAGGGGGCACCAAGCCTTACAAGAGCCCTGGTGTCCTGCTCCCTGCACCCGGTGCTGCAGGTCCCCGCAGCAGGCGCCCATGCCAACCCGCTCCCCGCACCCAGGCACTTACCAGCAGCCCCTCGTTGCACTTATCGGCCATCCCTGGAGGCTGGAGCGCAGCACCAGCTGCCCGCCGTGGGGTCCCTCGCCTGCCCGCTCTCCGTCGCGCTGGCTGCAGCACCAGCACCGGTGCGCTTCAATCCACTGTCAGAGCAAGCTGGGCAGAGGGCAGAGACACCAAGAGAGACGTGACTGGTGGGGTGGGCACATCCCCGCCCTGGGCCTCCCCCTCCCTCCGTGAACTGAGGGCCGTGCCAGGCAGGTCGCTCCCCCGTACCTGCCCGCAGGGCATACGGGAGAGGGGCTGGCGGAGGACGCAGGGCCTGGGGCCAGGTGGGCTGGTGGCAGGGTCTCTTCCTGCTGGCTCCCAGCCCCTCCAGTGTCTCCAAACCCCCTGGCACCCACACAAGCAGCAGCTCCCAGGTGTTTCCCAAGAAGCAGTTAAAGATTTACCCGGTGTGGACAGATGACCTTGCGGGCAGCTGGCTGCTGGCCTCCCGGCGGGTGGGCGTCGGGGGCCGTGGGCAGGAGCAGGGGCCCCACAAGCTCTCCCCCAGTGAGAGCTTGAGCCGAAGTGGCTGCGGCACACGGCAGCACCGGGACTGGGCACTGAGCAGGGCCAGCTCAGGGCTCAGCTGCCGCACAGGACACAGATGGGAAACGATTGCCTTCTGCCCCGATGCATTGCGTGCACGTGCGGCGCAGGGGGGCTGAGCCGCTGGGCTCTGCCAAGTGCCAGGTGCTGCTAGACAGGGCACGGGCAGCTGCCACCCCTGCCCTTACCCCTGCCCCAGCCTGGGGCTGCTGGAGGCCCCAGGGCAGCACCGGGGCCTGACCTCACTGAGAGGGACAGCCACTCTTGCAAAACACCAGTTTGCTTGTCCGTGTGACAGCACCGGTGTTTGCAGATCCCACACCAGCACTCAGTGCCTTTGCTGGCCAGGGAGGGACCCCCGACCCCCACCAAGGGTCCCCAACCACCACCACCACCAGCTGAATACCCCAGGGCCTGTCCCCAGGCCGCCATGGCTATGGAGCGATCAGCAGAGGAGCACAAGGCCCTGAAGCCGTGGGGAGGGAGCATGGGCGGCAGAGATAAAGGGCAGGAGGCCGGGGGATGCAGGGCGAGCCCCCAGCCCTGGCCACAGCCCCTCCAGTGCAGGCAGGCTGCTGCCAGCAGATACCGCATCCCACCGCCAAACCGCTCCCCAGGAGCAGCTGCATTTCCAAAGGGAGCCGAGATGTCATCACTGCGCAGGGAGGAGGACAAGCCCCGCTCCTCTTGTGGCACGGGGACCTCTCAGAGGTGGGAGGCGCAGGGCCAGCCACCGGCCCTCCTCCCCACCACACACCTATCGCCAGCCAGCCAAAAGCTGCCCGCCCTGTGGCCCTGAATTCAGCCCAGGGACTCATCCTGTGTCCCGGGAGGGGAGAGCGTCCAAGGGGGACGGCCTGCCACTCCCCCTGGGGTCTGCCAGGCGCTGATAAGGCTGCGTGCCTGCATAGATGCTGTTGACTTTGGCTCTCAGCCTGGCAAGGAGGTGAGCGCCCAGCCAGGTGCGGGGCGGCAATGGGATGGATGCAGGGATGCCGGAAGCTGCGGCATCCCCTGGGAGAGCCAGGCAGGGATGGGGATGCAATGCATTGGTGCTACGGGGTCTCTCCCAGAGCTGCGGGATGCCATGACAGCTCGGAGGGCAGGGCAGCTTGTACCTAGAGATGGGATGGGTGGCACCGTGCAAGTGGGGACCCTGGGCACCCACGGGGGCTCCCGGCTGGGGTGTCACACCTCGGCAGGGAGGCAGCCCACGGCACCCAGGGAAAGGCCACGGATGCCCGGCCACAGGATGGAGCCCCCCGTCCCCTCCCGCCCGGCGGGCAGCCCGGGGCGCCGGTGCAGCCCAGCCGCTTCCACCTGCGAGGCCATTTCCCCCACAGCCGGAGCTCCCAAGGGGAGGCGGCCAGTGGGCCGGCCTGCCGCCGCCCGCCGCCCCCCGCCGCCGCCGCCGCCCGCCGCC